CTTTAAACCATGTAGTATCCCCTTGTTCTATTCCAACAACTGCCTCTTGGTCTATGTACAGGTTCCCCATGAGCACAATTAAGTGTTCTGGAATTCCCATTCTTCGCAATGTTACGCATAATTTGTTACGATCCACACTGCCAAATGCCTTTGCATAGTCAATAAGACACAGGTAAACATCTTTCTGGTACTCTCTGCTTTCAGCCAAGATCCATCTGACATCAGCAATGATATCCTTCATTCCACATCCTCTTCTGAATCCAGCTTGAATTTCTGGCAGTTCCCTGTCAATGTACTGCTGCAACAGCCGCTAAGCTGCAGTCAGAATTTGAGCCCAGCTCTATCTCCAATGTTAATGAATTCTATTAACCACTACCTCATACTGACTTTTTATTAAAATAATCTGAGATCAAATAACAAAAATGTGTTAGAAACAGCAAGTATAAGAAGTAGCCCTGGCCTTCAGGACCTTTATAGGATAGGAGATCACAGATTTCACTTATCAAATTAGGAAAACAATACAGGGTGTTTGTAAGTATGCTTGTGCGCTTGTATTGTTAGCATGGTATTTGTAACAGTATGCTCTTTATACACCATTTAAGACTACCTTATGCCCCTAACCAAAACCAAACCAAACCCATTACCGTCGAGTCAACTCCAACTGATAGTGATCCTATAGGACAGAGTAGAACTGCCCCATAGGGTTTCCAAGGAGTGGCTGGTGGATTCAAACTGCCAACCGTTTTTGGTTAGCAGCAGAGCTCTTAACCACTGTGCCACCAGGGCTCTGGCACTTGGCGAGTACTTATAAAATATTTGATGGCTTGAATCTTGACCAAATTCAGTTCAATCCTATTCCAATATAATCAATAAATCAAACAAAATCATCCCATGGCAGGGTCCAACCCCTCTCTCCTTCCCACTCTCCATTGCCTTCTGCTTTTCCTGTTGTTGTTGTTAGGTGCCGTGACTCATAGCGACTCCACATACAACAGAAAGAAACACTGCCTGGTCCTGCACCATCCTCACAATCTTTGTTATGCTTAAGCCCATTGTCGCAGCCACTGTGTCGATCCATCTCGTTGAGAGTCTTCCTCTTTTTTGCTGACCCTCTACTTTACCAACCGTAATGTCCTTCTCCAGGAATTGATACCTCCTGACAACATGTCCAAAGTATGTGAGACGCAGCCTTACCATCCTTGCTTCCAAGGAGCATTCTGGTTGCACTTCTCCCAAGACAGATTTGTTTGTTCTGTTGTTACCTGCTGTCAAGAAAGCCCCTGACTCATGGTAAGCGCATGCACAACAGGATCTGACTGTTGTGATCCACAGGGTTTTCACTGGCTGATTTTTAGAAGTAGATTACCAGGCCTTTCTTCCCAGTCTGTCCTAGCCTGCAAGCTCTGCTGAAACCTGTTCAGCATCATAGCAACATACAAGCCTCCACTGGCAGATGGGTGGTGACTGCACTTGAGGTGAACTGGCCAGAAATCAAACCCAGGTCTCCTGCACAGAAAGTGAGAATTCTACCACTGAACCACTACTGCTCCCTTATTACAAATTACACAAGTCTTTAAAAAAACAACAAACAAAACTAATATTAAAAATAACTCCCTCCTTGGAACTCCAATAGCTCTTATGCCCAACATGATGGTATAATGGACTAGGATCAAAAGGCCAGTCCTGCCACTGATTTATATCAAAACCTTCCACAAGTCTTAAAATCCCCTGGTTCCATTTACTTAGTTCAATAGTAAGATGGTTTAACTTAAAGGCTCCTTTCAGTCTGGAATGACCCATTTAAGATATGAAATAAAATGCATCAAATCGTATGCCTTGTTTAGGCTAAAATGCAAAATGTTGATTTAAAAAACAGAACCTAAGATTAATATTAAATGTGTCTTACTGTCATTTTGGGGGGACTAAGTTATTTCTTTTCTTGTCATTTATCATATAGAATCTGGTATTGTTAATTTGCATGTGTTATTCTTATTTCTCCAAATTATAGCAAAAAAAAAAAAAAGCAAATCCACTGTCATTGAGTTGATTCCAACTCATGACCACCCCATGTTGTTAGAACTGCTCCATAGGGTTTTCTTTGCTGTGATCTTTAGGGAAGCAGATCGCCAGGCCTGTCTCACAAGGTACTGCTGGGTGGGTTCAAACCACCAACCTTTAGGTTGGTAGTTGAATGCAAACTGTTTGTGCCATCCAAGGACCTCTCCCAGATTATAAACTTTTTTTTTTTTAGAACAAAATTAGCATTTTATTTATATTTTGCTGAAATATATTTTTACCTCATGCATGTACTACTTTCATAATTTAAAAACTTTAAAAATATGATTGAAAGAAATTTTGAATTTTCTTTTTAATGTTGACTTATGAGGTCTTTTGAAGACTAGTGAAAGATAAGTGCAGCTGATGCTGTTGTCAGATTCCTTATAAACTTCTTAAAAGAAGAAACTGTTCTTTGTATAGGAGGTGCAATCTAGATAAAATACTGTTGGTATTTTGACTCTCGGTATCAACTCTACCAAAGAGCCCCGGAGGCACAACACAGTTAAATGGTTAAGCGTTTGGCTGCTAAATGAAAGGCTGGCAGTTCGAATCCACCCGCAGTTCCATGGGAATAAGACCTGGTGATCTGCTCCTGTAAAAATTACAGCCTAGTAAACCCTATGGGGCAGTTCTACTCTTTCACATGGGGTTGCTATGAGCCAAAATTGACTCAGCACACAATAACCAACTCTACAAGGTTCCTGGTGGTGCAAATGGTCTGCACGTGGCTACTAATCAAAACGTTGGCGCTTTGAATCCATTCAGCAGCACCGCAGAAGAAAGGCCTGGTGACCTGCTTCTGTAAAAATTACAGCCAAGAAAATCCTGTGGATTGCAGCTCTACTCTGAAGCACACGGAGTCACCATGAGTCAGAATCGACTCAACGGCAGTAAGTTTGGTTTTACCAACTCTACATAAATTGGGGACTGCCTCGTGTAACTCCAGGCCATAAGGAATCCTTGCGTTCCATGCATGCTGTCCTTCCTTTGCCAACACGTTGTCTCCTGGTGGGGTTATTAGTTTAAAATTTTTCCATCTCCACCTCATCTGTCCTTGTTCCCCCTAGAACCAAAGACTCTGTAGCCATGCGACAATGTAAAACCAGTTCCTTCCAGTTCATTAGTGCTACATGAATAGCTGGATTAACTAACCTCAAAGAACATAGTATCACTCTAAAACTGAAATCAAGCGTTGGGCTCAAGAATGGAAACCACCAAAGGGAACGACATAAAGCACTGGTGGTGCAAGAGGTTTGTGCTCAACTAGTAAATTAAAGGTTGGTGGTTTGAACCCACCCAGCAGTGCCACAGAAGGCCTGGCAATCAGCTTCCACAAAGATTACAGCCAAGAAAACTCTATGGAATTTTACTCCGTAACATATGATGTCCCATGGGTTGGCAATGAGTTTTGGTTTTTGGTCTGTGACCTGTAGCGGCACTCAAGACAGGAGTGTTGCTCCAGAATTTCTGTGGGTTCAAAGGCAGCAATCTAGCTGGAAGTAGGGTTCAGGGCATTTCTCAGAAGCTTCATCTGCACAGCAAACACACTGTCTTCACGTACTTTTTTGGAGTGTTGTTAAAGTCTCCCAACTCCTCTTTTTTTTTCTGGAGGCACCTTGGGAATAAGCAAGCGATTCTGACCGAGGAAGAGTCAAGAAGGTTCCAAAAGGCTCCTGGTGAGGGCCTCAGAGATTCTCCTCAGAAGGAGCATGGCGGAGGCGGAGACCGGCGGCCCCGACCAAGGGCACTGAGCTGCTAACAGCATTCGAAGCGCTAAGAGACAAAAGCGTATTGCCTCGACAGTTCCAAATGGCTGGAAGCACTCCAATGCTTAGGAATTCACCTTCTGACAAAAGCACTTGTGAAACCAACACAGTTCCACACTTCGGTGTGAGATTCTGAAGTTTTTGGTAAAAAGGAACGAGAGGTCCATACCGTTTCGTCCGGCCGCTGCTAAAGAGCCACCACGCCCGGCGTGCGCCCCCGACCATGCGCGTCCGGGCCGTGCGCGTGCGCGTGCGCGCGCGCGTGCGGAAACAGCCCGCGCGACCGCGCCGCGCAGACGCTGTAGCCACTTCCGGGATCTGTCAGCGTCTCCCTCTCGGCCTCTGGCCTCCGCCCGCGCTCGCCGGAGACAGTTCGCGTCGACTGACCAGAGTCCGCGAATTCTCCGCCCCGAGCCGGTCCGGACTGCCCCGATCCCAGGTAAGGGGCAGCGGGCGAGCTTCTGGCGCTGGCGGCCTCCACTGTGCCGGCCTTGTGCCAGGCTACAGCCTGCGGGGGCGGCGAGGCGGGGGCTTAGGCCGCGGGGCGCCGAGGCAGAGGGGCGGGCCGGGTCTCTAGCCCCGGGCCTCCTGATGGGGCAGGGGTCCCCGTTCTCCAGGGTTCCCACGAGCCTTTGGGATCCCCACACGTACAAATCGTTTTCCTCAAGATATCCGAGCTTCAGGTCGCCTCCAGTGCAAGAATTAACGATTTCTTTTTCTGCACCCCCAAACCCCTATTTGCATCTCTATTGTGGGCATTTATCGTAGTAAAATTGGGAGAAATGGGATAATCCCGCCCTAACGGAGCGTTACAGGGACCATTAATTTCTTTCCCTAGCGTCTAGAATGGGTCACTGCCCACAGAAGGCACCCGTGGCACCTGTCTAGGGCAGCCCTCAATCTTTCAGTTATTGGGGGATCCGTCTGAACGCGAGAAAAATCTACTCCCCCTCCCCATCCTTAAGATTCCTCCCCTCCAGTGCCACATTCCCCTAAAGTCACAATTGCACCCTTCTTCGCCTTCCTGTGGCAAATTTGCTCTTGACCTAAAGGTTGGTAGTTCAAATCCACCTAGCGGTACCAGAGAGGAAAGACCTGGCGACCTGCTTCCCTAATGATTTAAAAAAAATAAAAAACCAAACTCGTTGCCGTCGAGTAGATTCTGACTCACAGCGACCCTGTAAATTACAGTCAAGAAGGCCCTATGGAGCAGATCTACACATGAGGTTGTAATTAGCCATTATTACTGTTCCTGGGCATCCTATGCGTATTTATCTTCCCTTCCTTATCCTCTCTCCCCAGACCTTAAGGACCAGAAGGGTGCCAAATTTTTTTTTTTTTTTTATGTTTCTGGCCCCAACCAGGGAGCCCTGGTGGCAGTAAGAGCTGTGGCTGCTAACCAAAAGGTCAGTAGTTCGAATCCTCCAGTCCCTCCTTGGAAACCCTATGGGGAAGTTCTGCTCTGTCCTGTAGGGTCGCTATGAGTCGAAATCGACTCAACGGCGATGGGTTTGGGTTTGGTTTGGCCCCAACCAGGTACCTACTACTCTCCTGAGCGCATGACTTCTTGTTAGCTGCCATGGAGGAGGCCCGACTCATGGTGACCCCACGCCCAACTGAACAAAATGCTTCCCAGTCCTGTGCCATCCCCATGATCAGCTGCTGATCCAAATTGTGATCCATAAGGTTTTCCTTGACTGATTTTCAGAAGTAGATCACGAGGCCTTTCTTTGTAGTCTGTCTTAGTCTGGAGGCTCCGCTGAAACCTGTTCAGCATAATAGCTAGGCACTTAATAAATGGTAGTTTAGAATCTTTGGTTATAAAGCCATCTACTCTCATACTGTGTCTTTGGAAGCTGAAGGAGATTCTGACCTACTTCAACTCATTGTCTAAATTTCTTAAATTACCTTGGTTAGTCCCTCCTTAATCAATTTTGTTTAACCCTTTGGTTTCAGGTGGTTGTTGTTATTAGTTGCCGTTGAGTTGATTCCGACTCATGGCGACCCCATGTGTGCAGAGTAGAACTGCTCCATAGGGTTTTCAAGGATGTGACCTTTTGGACGCAGATCTCCAGGCACTTCTGGGTGGGGTTGAACCACCAACTTCTTGGCTTGTAATCAAGCACTTAAATGTTTGTGCCACCCAGGCTTGCTGTAGATTTTTCATGTGTCTAAAAACGAGATAGGATAGCAGTCAGAAAGATGTTTTTGCCCCATTAAGGAGTGGGCTTAACTATTTGGCCGCCTACTACCACAAAGTACTCAGAGTCCCTCACGGGTTAATTCTTCTGCTACTCACAATTAAAAAGCAAAGATGTCACTTTAAGGACTAAGGTGCACCTGACCCAAGCCATGGTGTTTTCAGTTGCCTCATATGCATGCAAAAGCTGGACAATGAATGAGGTAAACCAAAGAACTGATGCCTTTGAGTCATGGTGCTGGTGAAGAATTTTGAGTACACTGTGGACTGCTAAAAGAGCGAACAAATCTGTCTTGGAAGAAGCACAGTCAGAATGCTCCTTAGAAGCAAGGATGGCGAGACCTCATCTCACTTACTTTGGACATGTTATCAGGACAGACCAGTCCCTGGAGAAGGACATCATGCTTGGTAAAGTAGAGGGTCAGTGAAAAAGAAGAAGACCCTCAACCAGATGGATTGACACAGTGGCTACAACAGTGTACTCAAGCATAGCAGTGAATGTGAGGATGGCACAGGACCGGCATAGAACCAACTCGATGGCACCTAACAACAACTCACAATTAAAGGAGGGGATTATCTCAGAAAATTAAAACTCCTGCTTTGGAGGGGGAGTGACAGTATTTTGATCCAGGTATCTAATCCTACACTGAAATGGTCGTCCTGCATAAAGAAGTTTAAAGGGATCTGCCAGTGAGGTAGTACCTGGAATTACAGCCTGTCTCCGTGAACACCAGGGAGGGTGGGGTGACCTGGTGAGAGTGCCTGGTGTTGCTGGGTTGGGCAATGAGAGCAATTAGAACCCGGATGAATCACAGTCTTGAAGACTGACCCTAAACCAGGAACTGAAAATCCCAGTGGTATGAATATCTTGAATGAAGCTCCAGAGAAGGAGGGCCAAGAATGTAAAGCTTATGTAAACTTTCCCACGTTCAGAAGATACTAACCTGTGTGTACTTCTAGGGGTGGTGAGTCAAACAAAGGGAGGGAACTAACTTATCGAGCATCTGTTTTAGGCTAGGCTCTGTACTACTTGCTTTCACATATGTCATTTAATCCTCCTACCAACAGCCTTGTGATGTCAGTGGAATCTCCATTTTACAGATGAAAAAACTTAGATCGAGAGGTATTGAGTCACTTGCTCAGGTCTCAGCTAATTTGTGTCAAAGCCAGGTTCAAACCCAAGTCCCCTGAGCTCCAGGGCCACCCTCCCCGGTGTTTACGCAAACAGGCTGTAATTCCAGGCACCACCTCACCGCAGGGCCTTTTAAACTTCTTTATGCAGAACAACTTCTTTACGGCTAACCAGACATCAGAATGCCTCTATACTCACAGTAATGGGGAAAGAAACGGGGTGAAGGGAAATCTCTGGAATCATACTATGCCATAAATAGTTTTTATCTTTCTAACTGCTAGACAATAAAAAGGTAATCAGTAAAAATTTGCTATATTTAATGCCATTACTTTTTTGTCTATCCTTTCTTCTCTCTCTAGCCACCTTTAAAGCAAAGGTTTTCAGAGTTCACTTAAATATTAACCACAGTTTGGGAATTATAATTATCACTATGCAACAGAGTTATCTATTTTTTAGTATAAAATTCAGGCTATTATTGAGAACGGATTTCTTATGCATTTACTGAGTTTGGAGAATACAAGCTATCTTTACTGGGTATGTTACAAATTTGACAGACAAGGGTGTTGTCTTGACCTACAGACTTAAAATAGCCACATGATTATAAAAAGTACAGGTTTGAGTGTATGTCCAAATACGGAACTTGAATGATATAACAAAATTAGAAGTTTAGTTTTAGAAATAATTATGCCATTGTGTGGATGCTTGCCTCTTTGGAAGGCTATACTACATTGCTTGTAAAACTGAGTTGAAGAATGAGAAATCATTTGTCTGCAGCTGCTCTTTTTTTCACTGTATATGAACTATATCCTTTTATGCTTTTATTGCATGTAAGTATTCACAGTAAATTATTAATTTGCAGACCAGTTTTGTTTCAATTAACAAATGAACTTTTTAACAGGCTATAAAACGGTTTTTGAACTAAATTGGTTTCAATTAAGGAGATACTGGTATTTGTGACACAGCATGTTATTTTGAGTGTTGTTGTGTGCAGTTGAATCAATTTCAACTCATAGTGACCCAATGTGTTACAGAGTAGAACTTGCCCCATAGGGTTTTATTGACTGTAATATTTTCGGAAGGAGATTGCCAGGTCTTTTCTCCTGTGGAGCCGCTGGGTAGCTGTGACTAAAACCTGTTGTGACTGAACAATTTGAGTAACCATCTGATATCAAAGATAAAGAGAGAACCATGCAGTAAGCATCCAGAAGTTTAAGTTTTAAAAAACGGATTAAGGAGTCTCACTTGAATTCATTAGAAAATGTTTTTATACTTCCAGTTAGAGGTTTTATCTTTATTTATGAGTTGCAATTTGCTTTCTAGAACATGTAAAAGAAAAAAAAAATGACCTAAACATCTTCACTCTTAGAATGTGAAACACTGACATTTCTCTACCAGTTCAAGATACCAGCTGTTTTATTTCAGGGTGCACTTATCTCGTGTTGACCTTTGGGTTCCCTTACAACAATTAGCAGAGGTAGTCTGCCTTGCCAGCTGAACTTCATTGTTCACTTCCCACCTTTCTGGTGACCTTTCCATTCATTTCCTGTTTGCATCAGAATTCCTATCTCACATTTCAGTCTCCGTCCTAGATTAACATGACTTGTTTTTTAAGAGTATTGAACCCTCAGATTGTAATAATAGTGCCTCTTGGTAATGATAATGTAGGGGTAGGAGGAGGGGCTGGTTGCTTTTTTAAACTGGAAATTCTTTCCCCTATTTCACATAATAGGAGCCCTGGTGGCGCAATGGTTAAGTGCTCCGCTGCTAACCAAAAGGTTGGTGGTTCAAACTCACCCAGCAGCTCCACAGGAGAAAGACCTGGCAATCTGTTCCGGTAAAGATTACAACCCAGGAAACCATATGGGGTAGTTCTGCTCTGTCACACGGGATCACTATGAGTTGGAATTGACTGGACGGCACACAGCAACATTTCAGTTAATGGTTGCTTCATCAGTAGATCCAGCTTTGGGTGCCTATAAAATAGAGAATTTGATTTTAATTTTTAATTTGGTGGTGTTTTGCAGATTCCTGCTTTCCACTTAGTTACAATTAAAAAGTTTAAGAGTAGTAATATAACAGACACCTCCATACTCTTCACCTAGATTCACCAATATTAACATTTTACCACATTTGCTCTTTACATATCTACTTTTTGTACTGAATGACTGAAGGTAAGTTACAGAAGACATTATGATGCTTCTAAACACGCCATCATCTTATCTCCTAAGAACTAGGACATTCTCCTACCTAACTGCAGTTCCCTTAACATACCTAAGAAAATGAAAATAATACCATATTGTCTATATTCTAGTCCAAGTCCAAGTTTCCCATCTTGTACAAAAAATGTCTTTTGTGGCTATTTTTTAAAACATAGATTGCAATCAGTTTTAATGTTGGTTATGTGTCATTTTTAATACTTTTTTCTGTTGCTCACTGCAGCTTCTTATCCTTTGAAAACACTAAGAAAATGTCCCTGCATCAGTTTTTACTAGAGCCAATCACCTGTCATGCCTGGAACAGGGACCGTACCCGTAAGTATGCTGTTTATTTTGTTCCTTTTTGTGGCACCTTTGGTATATTTCACAATTAGATACTTTCAGGAATCACATATTTCAGTGTCACGTGTCAAAAGCACATAAATCTATTGACATAGACTCAGAAGGGAGATAGATCAGTCCTTTGGTTTACAGATACAGAAACAGAGGCGCAGAGTGATGGAAACATTTTTCCGTTGGTTACACACCAAGTTAAAGTCAGAGCCATTGCTAGCACCCAAGTCTTCTGGCTCCTTGTCCAGTTATTTTTCTACAGTACCACTTGAAGGACCGTTTATTTCAGAGAACTCTTTCATTGCTCTAAGATCCAGCACCTTGAATAATTGTGCAGTAATACTTCACTCTCCAGCGTTTAGCCAGAGTACTAGGACCTAGAAGTAAGCTGTTAGGCCTATGGTCTCCTCCTGAAGTACTCAGAGTACTTTGTCCTTTTTTCCCAAGATGTTTTGACTCTTCTGGGTCCCTTACATTTCCGTATGAATTTTAGGATCAGCTTGTCGATTTCTGCAAAGAAGCCAGCTGGGATTTTGATAGAGATTGTGTTCAATCTTTGGTTTTTTTCAAGCAGTACAGACATGACTCAATTTCATTTTTAAGTATGTCTTTGGTAGATGAATAAAGTACTCTTCAATTTATTGTTGGGTGAAGTGACGAACTAGATATGAGCCTCTGGGTTGCGTTTGAAATATGTAACATAGCAGGACTGTGCATTTAGAGCTTCTGTTTTGTGATCATCTCACAGAGCTTCATTGCTGAGTTTCCTGTATCTTCTGTGTCTACTTTTCCATCTAAAAATAGACCTTTGAGGTATTGTCCATTTATTTTTCATAGAGGTGCAAGTTATCATCATCCTCATTTAAACTACTTGATAAATCCAATGTATTAAGTCAAATTTTTTGTTATACCGTATTACAATTTGAAATTTACAATGTTTTCCAGGTTTAAACTTGGATTTGGCTTTTGAAATCTTTTACTGTGCATCTTAGAAGTTTAGAGAAATATGTAACTAGTTTCTAAAAAGCACTTAAAGTATTAGGAATTTAGAGCTAGATATCTATCTAGAGCTACAGTTTCATCTGTAAAACAGAGGTAGCTTTCTTAAGAAGGGGAGAGAAAGTGACTGTATAAATGAGGGAACTGTTAAATGATTGGCCTAAAATTTGGACTGTAGATCATAATTTTACAGTTAAAAAATCAAAGTTTTTTGTTTTTTTTAAAAAAGGATAAAAAAGATATATTAATATGAGTTAGAAGAAAAGTTTATATAGTCATATTTTGTATAAATTCTTAGTATTTTGGGTTGGTCAAGGAGATTTCTCAAAAACAATTTTGTTTTATGATCTATATTGGCTTTACTATAGAAGAGAACTTTGTTATATTTTATTAGCAGAATCAAGTTTTTCTGATAAAGTGGTGGTTCCCAGCCTGGGTCCATGATAGCAGTAATGGGAGTCTAGGAGCTCTTTTCAACATTTCAGAAAGTCTATCAGAAATTAAATAATTACCTCTAATAATATTGCAGAGGTGAATAAAATGTCAGATATCTTTAAAAAAAAAAAAAAAAGTTGCTATCAAGTCAATTTCAATTCAGAAAGTTCTGCATAGTCAGAGTAGAACTGTGCTCTGTAAGGCTTATTCAGTGGCTGATTTTCCAGAAGTAGATTACCAGGCCTCTCTTCCAAGGTGCTTCTGGACTTGAGCTGCCACCTCTTCAGTTAGCAGCCAAGCACATTAACCATTCGCACCACTCATAGACTTCCATATATGTTACTGTGGGCTAAAACTATAGCAACTAATCATAGTGACAGTGTTTATTTCTTGCTAGTTAGAATCTCTAATTGACAGTTGTGTATGTCTCTGGAAAAATGAATTTTTTAGTTTAGTTTGCCTACAAAACATTTTTAAATACAGGGTCCAAGCAAAGGTAAAAATAATAAAAAGAATTTTTCAGAGGTGAATATTGGGAACCACTTGTTGAAACCATTTTCTTATTCCTTCCTTCAGTCTGTTTTTAAAACACCAACTGTAAGAGATCTCCTTTTTGGGAACAATTTCAAGTTCATGTGTTAACTATTATGTTGACTTCTTCCTCCAGAGATTGCCCTTAGCCCTAATAATCATGAAGTCCACATCTATAAGAAGAATGGGAGCCAGTGGGTGAAAGCTCATGAACTCAAGGAACACAATGGACATATCACAGGTAAAGGAAAACGGCTGTGAGCGCAGTACAATCTTTCCAAGTTAAGCATTCTTTTGTTTAAATAACAAGCCTAATAAAGCAAGTCTGCTGAAATATTTAAAACTGTACAGCATTGACTAAGTTTTCTTTAGAAAATTTGAGAAGCTATCGTAATAATCTCAGTTTTTCACACTGGTACACAGTACTCTGCTAGTGTTATAGAAAGCACTGTACCTACCCTTAAGGACTAAAGACCTTAAATTAGGAGATGAGACGTGAAAGTGAAAACTAGACAACATGACAGCTGGGTGAACTTGTAAGCCAAATGGATCACAAGTGCTGAGGGAACACAGTATCTTCCAAAACTTTACTTTGTGGTAGTTTTAGGGGGCGGAAGACATTTCAAAATGTAGAAAAGGACAAAGAGTAACTTAACAAACACCCATATTCCCACCACCCAGAATTAAGAACTGCTAATCTTTCTTCCTGTATACCAGGAGACTTAAGAAACAAAAAAAATATTATTACGAGAAACTATTTTGTTCTGTAAGCCTTCATCTAAAGTGAGAATAGCAGCACAATTGGAAGAGCGTAGTCGATGTCACTGAACTGTGCATGTAGAAATTTTTG